AAAAAAAAAAAAAAAAACATTTTTTTTTTTAAGTGAGTCTAATTTGTTCTAATTCATTTGTGCTCGATTTGTGCCGTTATAATATTGAACATCTATTCCCCCTAGAAATAACAAATATAATTCAGGGCGCCCTCCGTCCATGCCAACCGGCTCTGTTCGTGTGTGCTGGATTTGTTGCATTAAAATTAACATTCAATTTATTTTTTCTCCGTAAAACATTACAAATATCTGGAGGAAAAGTGATGCCATGCAAGCCGCTCATCCAAATTACTGTCTTGTATAGTTTGCAAATCTGCTGGTTTAAAATGTTTTTCTAAGTTTTATTGCCAGTGACTTCATCAAGCACCAAATCCAAAATTTTCTTTGTGTGTATAACATTGTGTGATTTTCTCGGAACAGGCTATTGCAACTTAATATCACATGTTCGTGTTCTTGATTGTTGCTATTTTATTTAATTTGTTACAAAAATGGAACATAGGCTCTTTAATGTAACAACGTTATTTTGTACACCCCTCACATTTTTGTAAATATTTTATTATATCTTTTCATGTGACAACACTGAAGAAATGACACTTTGCTACAATGTAAAGTAGTGAGTGTACAGCTTGACCATATATACACCTTGCTACGTGTACTGCGTTAGGCTAACCGAGACTTGTCATTTGCACTTATATATTGTTGCTCTTTTGTTAGTTTTGGCTGCTTTTATTGTCCTCATTTGTAAGTCGCTTTGGATAAAAGCGTCTGCTAAATGACTAAATGTTAATCTAAATTAATTCTCTGCCAGTAGGAGGCGTTTTTGGAATGTCAGAAATATAGAATGAGAAAAGTGTGAAAAAATATAGCCTATACTGACGAGGAAAGTCCACTGATGAGTTACCAGCGTAAGCCTGTGTGCAAAGGCTGTCTAATTCTAAACTTTAAAATACATTTATTTTTAGTTTTTTTAACTACAAATTTAAATAAAACTGAAAATGTGCGATGTTAGACGCATATCCAAGCGTTTGAGCGGAGAGTGGAAGCTAAAGCGTGCTCTGCAGGACATGGAGGCGCCAGCGCGATCACTTGCATTTTTTTCTAACAGTGGAAACAACTTAAAATACGCAGTCATTTTTGCTCATAAAGGTAAGAGTAATACATCATTCTAAACTGTAAAGGGTCTAGTTTTATTTGTGTGCACTCACAATATCAACAAAATGTTGTGCTTTTATAAAATAAAGAAAACAAACGCTTTCTGCCATCTCGGGCTTGAACAGGAGCGCTTCACAATGGTGAACCTAAACTCAGACATGATAAAAATATAAATAGAAAAATATAGAAAGCTTTAAAGCTACTACTTTAAAACGAAATAATTCAAATCGAAAATAGACTCTTAATAAAATAAACTCTTTCATTATGTAATCCCTGCATTTCTCTCTAAAGGCACATTTAATTAGGAGATGGCGAGTCATTTTTTTCATCACCATAATTGATGGAAGGCCTGATTATAATTTGCGATTTGTAAAATAGCCAACAAATTAATTGTTGTAGGCTAACCCGATCTCATAAAAGTGCGTATAGCATGATTTTCTGCTTCTATTTGGCGTAATATTTATATGCAGAAATTGACTTTGGCATGAAAAATACTGATCAATTCATAATTAATGGCATGGCTGGTTCAGTCGACAGAAATATGGGACACAAAGGCCTATAATAACTGCTGAAATGTTTGCGGGGCAAATCTCACGTCAGTCTGAGCTCTCATGGTACGCACAGTGCGTAGCCTACAGCCTGCAGGCTCCACTGACTCGGACGGTTGTCGTGGTAATAAACACCGTAAACAGCAACCGTTCGCGTGTCAGCGCTTAATGCGCATATCCTATATGAAAAGCATTTTAGGGGACCCTTGGCGTTTGGGGGCCCAAGGCGGTAGCCTACCTTTGCCTAATGGGTAAGTCCGCCCCTGCCTGTGTATCATCAGCCTAACATTTGAAGTTAAGGTATGTTTAACTAATGTGGGGTAATGTGAAGTATGCAATTGTAGGATTTATTCATGCTTTTTTTATGCCAGGTTGGGGTAATACATTGATTTTCTGTCATGGTCTATGGACCCCCTGAATTAGCCTTGGCCACCCCATCTATAAAACTCTAGCTCCGCCACTGCAGCCCTGTGACAGCTAGCCCCAACCAATCTCCAACACGTAAGATATTTGACAGTACGATTATAAAATCATGTTCTTACCGGTTTCATCAACACTCATGACCGGTGACAGCAGTATAAAAACTCAGGATAAAACCAGCGTTGGTGATTTCACACTCTAAATGCCATGAGATTAACACATATTTTAATATGATTTTGACACCTCAACTAGTACTGATAAAGCAGAAGCAGAGTTTTAGCAGATAAGAAACTTGATGTCAGTCCATAAAGATGCTCATAATGTTTTTTTTCAAACAACGGTAACAATGAACCTGCTCTTAAGAGACAGAGAAAAGAATTGCTTGAATAACTGACTTTAATTTGTATAAGTAGACCAGCTATCATGGTGTGGACCAGGATTGTAAAACACTGGAAAGCATTGCATTGGTTGTGACTGCAATATGCAACATTCTGCGTAACTGTGCATTTGATAAAACACAAAGTAATGGAAATTAAATAAACAAAGAACTTACAACACGCTGATGAAGATGCTAGATAGCGTTTAGCCTGTCACTGGTTTTGTTCTCAGAAGTGTCATCAATCTCTGAATATGGTCACAGATACAGTTTCCTTTGTACTGAGATAAAAAAAAAAAGTGTGAACCTTTTTATAGCAGCATCACTCTTTGGTGGACTGTGTGATCATGTGACGCTGAAGAACAACATACTCAGGAAGAGGAACTGTGAGAGTAAAACTTGAGGCCTTTCCGCATACCCAATATGGCAGCTCTAGTAATGGAAGTCCCGCCTTCTAAACAAAAGAGCCAATCAGCAGTTGGTAAAGTCATTGCATGACTGCAGCTCCTGTTAGAAGCTCTGGCCTGCGTTCAGCCCCAACAAAACGGTGCAAAACGTTTTTTAAACGGAAACGGTGGTGCGTTGAACACCCTGTTCTGATGACGCAAGAGTTGCAACTATGGCAGCTGAGAAGGCCATTCTTTGTGTTCTTTTTGAAGAATTTTCGGAGCCGGATGAAATCGGTATAAATACGTGATTAATACTGCAAAATACGGTCGATGTTACAGTCATTGCCCTTGCTGTCCAGAATAAAAGAGAACATCCCAATCCAGTGAAGGGATTTGTGGAAACTGTGGTTCCTAATTATTGTGATCCAACATTTGCCTCGCATTTCAGGATGAAAAGACAAACATTTCAGGTGAAGGATAATCCACTTCTTACCTCCAAGACTGTGTTATGATCTATATAACCTTATTATTTTTATTGTGAGTATTAG